CTGAAAGGCACTGAAGTTGGAGTTCTGTTCTGCCGTAACATAACGGCAGAACATAGATACGTGGCTTTCACAATTAAAAGCCACGTATCTGCATTTACCCAGGTTTGATATTACTTTGGTGATTGGAGCTATTGGGATAAAAGTGCAGAAATCTTATTTTGGCAAAAAGATAATTTTAAGACTTACAAAAACACTGGTGGAGAAAAGGACATGGAGCATGGGCGGAGATACAGCCAAACAATGAAAGGTCAGCAGAGGATTCCAGCAGAAAGCAGGTGACAAAGAGATGCAGATGATTAATCACAAACTGATGCAGCTGCAGTTGAGCCAAACCGGCAGACTGAGGTGACATGAATAATAAAAACAAGATCTCCTCAAGAGGACATAATCAATAAACCAAGGGGAGAAGGAAAGCTAATTAAAGGCAACTAAATTCAAATACATGAAAAACAAAACTGAAGAATAAATGAAGAAATTACCGTATTTTTCAGATTATAAGCTGCTACTTTTCCCCCACTTTTTGAACCATGTGGCTTATTGCCCAGTGCGGCTTTTCTGTGGATTTTTCTTCAACCACCAGGAAGTGAATCATTGGAAGTCAAAATTGGAAATCAAAGAAGAACGCGCTAGTTTTCATTTAGAACAAGCACATGCTAGCAGCCAAGCTAGCAGCAGGCACGATGAAGAAATGTTTTCAAACTCATATGATGCAGCTTTTAAGTTGAGGGCTGTCGATCTGCCACTGCAGGAGGGAAATAAAGCCGCTGCACTTCAGCTCGGTGTGAACGAAGCCATGGAGATGGAGGGCTGCGGCCCTCTGCTGCCCTCTGCTGGGTCCTTATGGAAAACTGAGAGTGACGGAATTTTTTTTCCAAAGAAATTGTCGGTGCGGCTTATAGTATGGTGCGCACTATAGTCCGGAAAATACGGGTAAAGGGTTTTAATTAAAGGCTCCAGACATATTTGTTTTTGGTTGTTTTTTGTCCAATATGGCTCTTTCAACATTTTGGGTTGCCGACACCTGAGCTAGACGTTTCAATAATTGAATTTTTATTTAACATGCAAAAACTGAAAGAAAAGTTTGAATTTATTGTAGATTTTCTTTCAACCACTGCCTAATATTTATACAAAGAGGCTCAGAGCCATTATGATCATTCTGCCTGGATCTTTGACCACTTTTCCTGACATCTGATAAAAAAGGAAAAGAAAAGAAAATTACTAAGTTCAAATGACACACTGCTTTTAAATGTAATCCAAAAACTTCAAACAAGACAAGCTTTGGAAAGGCTGTTCTAGAAGTGTAATGTTTGTGCTCATTTAAAAATTAAACTCTCACCACAGACCGCAGGAGGAGGGCAAAAGAAGCCCCCAAACCTGATCATACATAAGTATAAAAACCATGAACTATTTAGGTGATGACATTAAACTGAATATAATTTTGGAAAATAATATGGAAAAAAACTAAGATCATTATGATGAAGTTATATTCTCTAAACTCAAACTGCTGCAGCTTCATCAGGACATGGCCCAGCTCATCTCCCTGAGGAAGGTCACGACCCCCACCTGCAGAGAGAAGAGGCAGCAACAGAGATCAGATCAGTGAGTGTTTCCAGCTTCTCTCCAGCAGCAGTCAGTGACGCAGCACATCCAGCAGAAAGAGCAGCAGGGCCTTCAGTCATGTTCAGAGCAGCTTCCTCTCTGCTCTCATCTTAACGTGTTGCAGTGAACACACTGAGCTCCAAGCTCACACACCTACACACACTTTCAGCATCCAGTCTGCTTCCTCTGCAGGTTCCACTCAAGTCCACAGTGGAAACAAACTGCTGANGGAGGTTATTTTACATGATGTTGATCTTTGAAATCCAACTGAAAAATAGAGAATTATAAGTTCATACTCACCAGCAACTCCAGACCGATGGATGGATGATGGTTGGATGATGGATGGATGAAGGGTTCATCCTTCATAATTTGCCTCCATAGTATTGATTCATTATTGCTAAACTAATGTAACTGATTGAAAACTGGTTGTGATTTAAACATTAAATGATCAGAGAAAAACATTTTTCTGTATTTTTCCTGCTGATTAATATTCGAGCCACTCAGATGAAGATCTGGTGACGTCTGGCTCTGATCTGTGTCTCTCCTGCTCATCAAATTATTAAAACTACCCGTTTATTTGAAACCCTGACATTTAAACTTTGTTCAGATCTGCTTTCGGATCTCTGGCAGCAGCTGGTTGATAATCTCAGATTATGATCAGCTGCAGTTAAAACATTTCATTGTTTACAGAAACACCTAAAGTTCTGGTTCCTCTGAGCGGAGCGGTCCAGGTCGGTGCGTTTCTGCTGCTTTATCCGTTTCCTTTGGGGAAACGGTGGAGATGTTCTGAATATGCTGGTAATCCGTCCAGATCTGGTGTCGAGGCGTTTTGTTTTTTCTTCTCCATTTCAGAGCGATCCTGAGCTGCTGAACTCAGGAACAGAAAACCTGGATTTGGTTTTCAGATTAATCTTCTAAGCATTTTGTTCCCGTTTTGTTTATGGTTTTATATCTGACATTATTATTGTTTCTCTGGAAAGTAAAATCATGTTTTTGTTCCATATTTAAAGTTTTGCCTTTCAATGTGATATAAAAGCTCAGATTTGTCTTTTTTTCTAACATTAAGGATTTGTTAGTTTAATTCTGTAAATCATTTCATCAGGCCCAACTTTTTCCTGAGCGTGTTGTTGGGCCTTCACCCTCCAGGGGGCGCTCTGTACCTGGACTCCAGGGTGATCAGGGACCAATGGCGCCCTCTGCTGTTTGTTTTCTGTTTTGCTGCGTCTCACAGGGTCACAAACTGAAAATGTAACATTTTGTTCTTTATTCTGTTTATGATGAGATGCACCTGAAAACCAAAATGCTGTTTTTTCTACTGCTTAATAATTAATGAGGTACAAGCTAACGTGTACAGGTTGTTATTATTATTTTTATTATAATTGTTGCTTCATTTTCAGATGACGCCATTGTTTATGGTGCGGATGTGTTTGTGCGTGTTTGGACGAGCCGAGGATAATTTAAAACGCTTGTTTTTCATATATAATTTGTAACGATGGTACGAAGTGTTTTGCTGTGGTAGGAAGAGTAGATCGATAAGCTGGCCACATGGTCCTCCATGTTCGCTGACCGGAGGTCAGAGGTCTCTGGGATGTGGATCCTGCAGGGTCTGGGCCTGATTTTACTGTAATGTTGCGTCCTGCATGAACCAGTGAAGTTGTTTAGACTGTGCTGTAGCTGAACTAGAATTAAATTATGATGTTTGAACCTCTGGGTCTTGGTTTTCCGTTCTTTCTCTGATTCTGCATATTAAATCCAGGATTGTTCACTAAAATAAAAGTTCTTCACAGGAGTTTCAGTAAGTAAATCAGTCCAGATCAGGAGTGTTGGATAATATTTAAAATGCCAGTCAGAGTCTTCAATCACAAAATGTTTTCAGTTTTCTGTAGTTTAGGTTGAACGGACATGTTTACAGGAACATGAAGATTAAAAGGACAGGTGATTTCTGCAGCAGGAAGGTAATTATTATAATTCATAAACACACAAAGTTAATTATTGGTGATAACAATGATTTTCATTTTTAAACCTGAAGAACATTGTATGTTTATACAATTAATAATTATACATTTGTTCTATTGAAAGCACCAACATGGTAATTGGTGAGATTAGTGGAACTTTATGATGCACATTATTAGTTATGTTGGGCTCTGGAACAATCATAACTTTATTGATCTGAAGTAGAAATTTTGCCTTTTCTTCACTGAATCAATCGGCTGCTGGCCTGTAAAACTGAAACAACTGAAGTGAATCAGAAGTGAAAATCGGTGCCAATAATCCGGTGGGATAAATATAGCAGGATAATTATAGGCAGCAGCTGGTGGGGAGTCCCCGACTGTCTGATTCCTTCTTCTCTTGTTTTCCACACCTGTTCTCATCATCTTTCCTCTGTTTATCACTCAGCTGCTCTACAAGCTGTTAGTTTTGAATTAGGTTTGAATTGGTTTTGTCACTAACGTGTGTTGATCTACAGAAATGCTCATTACGACATTATAAATGCTCTTTATTCTTAATAATTATAGCACAGCAGCTCAAGGAACTGAAAAACACCTGATGAAGTTTTTAGCTGTTAGCTATGAGAGTTGTAGTTTTCTGATGGATCAATATGTACAATATTGATCAGGTAATTTAATGTTAGAGTTGTAGAGTGCAGTACCACTGTTGGCCTCTAGAGGCTCCAGTGTCTCATAGTTTTCCGTGTCTGATTCATATCAACAAACTCAAGAATTTCAGTTTCTGTTAAATAAATAGTAAAATATTTAAACTCATTTTCTGTTTCGTTTAAAAGACGTCTGAACTGTTTGCTCCTCCCACTACAGGCCACGCCCCATTTGGACCATTTTTAAGTACCTGCTTTCTACCAAGATGGCCGCCATGGCAGCATGTGCCTGAAGAACGCCTTGATGAAACCTGACCTGTCAGTTGTCCAACTGTGGGAGGCGAAAGAAGGTCTAAACCTGGAGCGAAGGATTATGACAGAAGAAGTGAAAAGTTGTCGGATGACAGACATGGTGGGGGTTTCCAGCTTTTAATACTCTGATCTCTGAAACAAGCAGAGGGAGTCGCTTTACCGCTGCTGTATTTTTAGCAGTGGAGAACAGAGAAACACTGGGAAACATGCCACTCTTTACCATCACTGGTCTGAACGACTGGCTTTACTTTCTGTCTGATTGGTCAGTTTCTCCAGGATGACGGACGATTTTAGTCTTCATGCCAGTAAAAACTTGGCATAAAGATCAATATTTGAGTCTTGTTTCTTTAAAATCTGCAAATATATTGTAAAGGTATTGGCTGAATATCAGTGCAGCTCATTCATCCTCTTGGTGTTTCTTTGGCTCAGGTTACTTCAGCTCCTCCAGCCCTCCCTCCAGGTCCAACAGGGTGGAGACTTTAACTTGATCCGAACGCCATCAGGGTCAACCTCCAGTTGTAGAGGGGTGAGCTGGTCCTTCTGCCTTCTCGCCGTCTCTTCTGTATCCCACTACCTCAACCCTCATGCTGTGGTTCTTGATTCTTTATCACCTCTAACTTTCACAGATTCTGCAGGGCTTTTATCTCCCTTCATCTCTTCTTTCATTTCATTTGGATCGTTGAATTCAAGCCACCAACTGACCAGACAGTTAAAAGACCAACCAGCCAGCAAGAATGACGGACAAACCGGTGCTGCCAGCAGGAGGCGGAGATGATGCCGGCGGCATCATGGCGCTGCTGGAGCGCGTGGCGGGCCTCATGGACAACGTCCAGGCCACACAGCAGCGCATGGAGGAGCGTCAGCTGGAGCTGGAGAACACAGTGAAAACCATCCAGGCCGACGTCGTCAAACTCACCAACGATCACGCAAACACCAGCTCCACGGTCAGCCGGCTGCTGGAGAAGACCCGCAAGGTCAGCTGCCACATCAAGGATGTCAGGGTGCGGGTGGAGAACCAGAACCTCAGGGTGAAGAAGGTGGAGGCCACGCAGGGAGACCTGCTCGCCAAGAACAAGTTCAGGGTGGTCATTTACCAGGTGAGGCTCACTGGACCAACATTTACAATGATTCTGATGTTTGTTGGCTCTGGAAAAACTCCTAAAACTCTGCATGCAGCTTAATGTCAGCTGCATGGAAAACAATCAACAGATTCAAGAGACATGGCTGAATTAGAACAAAAACATGATGCATAAATTCAGCTGCTACATTCCTGACTTACCAAATCGGACGGCCGTCTTACAGCTTTAGGTAGGAAATGATTGGAGCATCGACTGATCGGGTCAATCAGGACCGTCACTGTTCAAACAGTGAAAAGTTTCTAAACTGCTTTTAGAAACTCACAGCAGCAGAAGGTCAGACCTGTTGACGAGCAAATTTAAGTTTTTAATGGAAAAAAATCACCTTAGTCATGTTAAGAGGAGAATAATTCATTTAAGGGATGTAAATACAGAAGAATTTTCCACTCAGTGAAAGCTGAAGAAACTAATTTTATTGATACCAAAGTTTGTTTCATCAGAATTTCATTTAATCTCTACAGTTTTAGAAAAGGTTTTAGGAAATTTATCTTTGTTTTTATGTCTCTTTTAATCCAAATCTGAGTTTATTTGACATGAATGTTGGAGGTCAAATGTCATCAGGCCTCATTTTACTCCTCAGCAGCTGCCAGCGTGACGGCGTCTCGGTTATTTTAGTTCTGCAGAGACGTCAGATCTGAGCTACTAATGGTTTATTGGAGAAATAAAACATTTTGGCTGCTTTAAATCAATCAACTACATTTTGAAACCATTCATTGGCAGCATGTTGCATCTGAAAATGAAACAGGAAAATAACAGCAGTGTGAGGTTTGGATGTAGTTTTGGTTGCCTGCACACTATTCAGCAAAAGCTTTTCTATAGTTACTTTGTTTTCCTTTCATTAAGCCGTTTGAACAGAAAAGAGCTCAAATCCAGTCATGCATGTAAACCAAGACCTACAGAAAAACCACTCAGAGATTTTCCTGCATCCCCACATCAAGTCTCAGACCTGAAGGTAGGAGCTGGTAGCCAAATATAAATGTCCCAAAGTTACTGTTCAGAGAGCAGCATGTGTTGAGCCCAGAGCTGCTGCAGATAAATGACTGAGCCAGCTGAGGGCCGAGTTATTCTGAGTCTGAGCCTCCACCATCTCCTAATATAGCGCTCTGCTCATCCCTGCTAACCTTTGGCCAATCAGTGTTTCTGAGCTGCTACCTGCAGCTTTAAGTTGAACCAATTGGGGAAAGTTTTTATGCATTTGCTTGGATTAACATTTCTTGATATTTAGCAGGACAGACGTGGTTCTCTGAGTTAAACGACCATTTCCCTGTTAAGTTTTATCGCAGTTGGTGAACATTATGCTACAAAACCTGCAGGTTTCATTTGTTCTTGACTAAACCTTAGTTAATACTTTACCTTCCTTCATGATGCAGATTATTGTTGTTTTTCTTTGGACAATAAGCTAACAGCCCTCCAGGTGCAGATGTCCTAACTTTGCTAGCTGCCAGCTTGTTAGCAGCTGAAGCTACATGTTGGCTCACCGTGCAGCTCGGTTATGGCAGGCAGGAAATGTCAGCCTATCAGGTGTCAGTGATGCATGAAATCATAGATGCTGGTTCTCCCATTAACATGATTCCAATTTACTGGTTTATGACATTTCACTTGGTCAATATTCCAATAATATTTACAAAGAAACTTCATCCATGATCTCAGTGGGTTTTTCCTGACGGGTCGATTTGGTTCAGGCTTAGAAGATTTATGGTCCTGAAAGTTCATTCTGTCCGTCTGTCCCGTTTGGCTGCATCAACCGTTTAGTTTGGGTATTTAGGGATGTGATTTTAACTACCATGGTTGATCCAAACATTTAGTCTGTTTACTGGCCTTTCCACTGATCCCAGTATGAATGACTGAGGTCTGTTTAATCATCAGTCTGAGTCAGTTTGCTGCTCATTCTTCAACATTTTTCTGAAACCTGACCTGTTAGCGACAGTCGCGCTGTGATGCAGCTGGAAGCTGCAGCTCTCTGATATGTTTAGCTTCCTGCAGCCCGGCGCTGAGCTGCAGAAACAGGTGCTGCAGTTTATTTCTGGAGGCAGGATCAAGACCTGCACACTCACCCCAAGTCTGGATGACACATTGTGACCAGCGACAGATTTAAACCTGACATCATCATTAAACTGTCTGAGAAAGAAGTCAGTGCAACATCTAGATGCTGATATTTGATCTGTTACTGTTTCTCAGGGTGACCAGGAAGTTAAAGCGATCACACCAGGCAACGAGCCGGCAGAGTCCAGCGGTGCAGCTGCAGCAAGGCCTGAGGTGGAACCAGACAAGTTTGAGCTTCCTCCAGAGTCGGACGAAGAGTACATGGTTGTGGAGGAAGCAGACTCCTCATCAGCCGGTCGGATGAAGAAGACAGGCTTGACACGCATCGAGAGCTTCAAAGCCACCTTCTCCAAGGAGAACATGAGCAAAACCCGCGAGAACCTGGGCACCAAAGTCAACAAACTCGGCGAGCGAATCGTAACGGCCGAAAGGCGCGAGAAGATCCGCCAGTCAGGTGAGAAGCTGAAGGAGACCTTCACCAAGACGGTCCCGGCGAAGCTGAACCTGAAGAAAGAGAGGACTGTGGCTGAGGGTCAGGAAGGAGCAGAGGGAGCTGCAGAGGCAGCCGGTCCAGTTCCTCCTCCGAAAGGCCGTAGGAGCAGCCCAGCAGCAGCCAGGGCGGCTGAAGACGAGGCCAAGCCGGCCGAGTCTGAGGTGCCCATGTACGACATGAAGCAGCTGTCATAAACAGGACAGCTGCCAGTTTTCTTTGGACCACAGAGAGAGCATGATGTGTCTGCTGATGTCTGATGGTAGAAACAGTGGAGAGAAGCAAACAAGCAGATGGAATCACCTTAACATGGCTGAACATTGAGACAAGAACAGATTCCTGGAATCACTGGGATGATCTGTTTCCAGAACATTCAGGATTTGGTCATTTCTGTTTGTGTTACTGTGTCTGATTGAAATGTGTTAGTTTATCACAAGCTGCTGCTGCTGCTCACTGATTTGCATGTTGAAGTTGAAATGTTGGACAGGATGAGTTTGTGGAACGTTTTGTTCCTAAATATGTTGAAAAATGAGGAAAAGTGAAGTAAAATAAAGTGAATTTCTTTGTTTGGAAATAAAAGTCGAGATAAGATGGTTTGTTGCTGCAGAGACTTTAGTAGATTTTCATATTTGTCAAGAAAGATGCAGAAAATGAAAAAACACCCAGATTACAGTTTGTACCATCAGATTTGGACGGATCCCTCTAACTTATGGTTTAAGTTTGATGATTCAATAACTGACAGCATTATTTTTATTAATGCTGTAAAGTATAAATTATCTATGCATTTTTATTGATTACTGTATGTAGAAATGTAGCTTCTTCACTTTGGTTCTGATCATAATTACATTTTCATAATGTAGGGGTTAAATTAAAGCATTTGTGTTTCATATCTGTGTACTGTAGTCTTACAGATAAAAATATTCCACTTGAAGACGATAAGAATAAAATCCAACTTGTCCAGTTTTGAAGGAAAATGAGCTGAAGGCAAATAAAGCACTGAGGTTTTGTTGTGTTTTTGTTTTATTCTTTGAATATTTAACCAATGATGGCGTTTTATTGTGAATATAATATATTTACACTCTTGGTAAATTATGAATTAACTGTGATTAACATGAATTTTGATCAGTTTCAGTGACGCAGGTCTGGACCACTGTTGGACCTTTAATCACTTCATCAGAACTCATCCAACACCATGAAGCTGACAGAACCTCAGCGTAACGCGTCAGAGGAAACGAGAATTATTCACATCGGCTTCTAAGGCTCTGGGACTCAGGAGGAGTTTAATATTTTACCTTCAGAAACAATGAAAAAAATAACTTCATTAAAATCAACAAGGAAAGTTTCTCCTCCAACTGAAACCATCATCGACTCACTGAGCTGTTTGCAGCAGATAAAATCAGCAGAGCTGCACAAGAATGTGCAGAAAACACCTAAAATATAAAAACATCCAGAAACATCAGGATGAAGCAAAATGCAGCCGACTGAATTTAACTTTATTCATATTTATTGAAATATGAAAAAAAAAATTACAGTTGAATCAAGATCAGATCAAATTAAGCCACTAAATGGAGTTTAGATTGAATTTGATCAAAATTTATCCAAAGAGACAAACAGACAATAAATGTCAAGACAGGATAAAAGAAATTGTAACAAAATCTTTCAATTCAGAATCATCATGATCCAGTCAGAGTCTCTTCAGACTCAAACTGCTGCAGCTTCTGAGGATCAGCAGGAAACAGAGACGATTCTCTACTTTACAAAGTTAATCACCAAAATCTGCAGAGAGAAGAAAGAAGCAGAGATCAGATCAGTGAGTTTCCAGCTTCTCTCCAGCAGCAGCAGTCAGTGACGCAGCACATCCAGCAGAAAGAGCAGCTGCTGACTAAATGAATGATGGTTTGTGAAACCAGAGTTTCCAGTGGTTTCCAGGCTGCAGTCAGACTGATCTCAGAGCTGTGACCAACATCAACCTGATCAGCTGTTTCCTGTTGAACTGAGAGAACAAACAGATCTGAGATCAGATCTGCTGCTGCCACAGTTTGATGAATGAGGACCACTGTCTCTAGACATGCTGGACGGCTGGACGCTGGAGTCCAGCTGGACGTCCTGGAGACATGGACACAGCAACAACACTCATCTTCACACCAACACAAACACAGGAACACAGCAAGCTGCTGCTCCTCTGATTGGCTGATTGCTGTCTCTGTGTCCAATCAGGAAGCCTGAACCACTGAGAAGCTGCAGCTTTACTGGGAACACTGGAGCTTTGATGGGAACTGGTTTAGTTCAACATGCTGACAGCAGCTGGACTCACTGATAACATTTACTTACAAATGATCGATTTGTTTGTCTGGACTTTTTGAAAGATCCTCCAGCTGGTGAACTCCTGACTCCTTCAGGTCGTTTCCTCTCAGGTTCAGCTGAGTCAGATGTTGGCTGGACTTCAGAGCTGAGGCCAGAGAAGAACAGCTGATCTCTGACAACCTGCAGAAACACAATCTGGATAAAGAATAAAAGATGTGAGCTGAAGCAACAGGATGCAGGTGAACCAGTTAGAGTCTCATGAATATTAATGACCTGCTTCATTAAAGACCTGCTGACTCTTGAACTCTGTCAGCTCCATTAATACAAACTGAGCTTCTACAGCCAAATGAGTCAAGTTACACAGAAAAACAAATAAGTAAGAACTTAGGAAAAAATATGAACAAATATAATAAAATGCTGATGAATGAAACTATTTTAATTCTTCAGCATTCATAAAACATGTCATGGAGAATATCTGAAGTAAAACTGACATTAAGAGCCTAAATACACAGAAAGTAAAGCTGGTACCGTCTCTTGTTTGAGTATCTTTGTCACTAAACTCATACAAAACTGTTAAACCACCAATCAGTGAGAAGGTCCAGGAATAACTGAGGCAGATATTCATTCAAATAAAATGCAACACATTTCCTTCTCAGGGGAAAGATGTAATTATTCATAGAAATATGAAATGAACGTTTTAAAGTTCATCAGCTTCGCTTCTTATTTCTAAGAAAGCCATTTGATGACAAGCCATTAAAACAAGAATTTAATTAGCAGCTAACGATTCAATTTTGGTTGGGAAACATAAAATATAACACAATAGTGAAATTACAATTAATGAAATGAACTTACAGACAAATAGTGTCCAAGGAACAAAAGTGTCTGAAGGACAATCGACACCATGCAATACGTGAACAATGTCCACTAGGTGTCACTAAGGCTCTATAGTCTCACTTGGAAAACTGAACAAACCATAATGATGGAGTCAGAACACGAACGATGCCTCCTGTTGGCTGAAATGAACCTTCTGTCGTTAAATCGAGTTTTTACCACCTTCGGCTTTTAGCAAAAGTTAAATCTTACTTCTGTTTCAAGGACTTTGAAGGACTCATCCATGCCTTCATAACAACTCGACTGGATTACTGCAACTCTTTATATAGAGAGATGGAAAAATCGCACATTCAGCGACTTCAAATGATCCAGAACACAGCAGCACGGCTTCTTACAGGAACGCAGCAGCACGGCTTCTTACAGGAACCAGGAAGCATGACCATATAAGGCCAACTCTGGCATCTTTACACTGGCTGCCTGTCTTTTACCGAATAGATTTTAAGATTCTTTTGTTAACTTTTAAAGTTTTAAGTGGGTCAGCCCCCCCTTATCTTCGGGACCTTTTAAATTTCCGGTCTATGTCCAGAACTTTACGATCAAATAATCAGTTATTACTGACAGTTCCTTGGACTCGACTTAAGAGGAAAGGAGAT